AATATATATATATATATATATATATATATATAATGAGTTTAGACTACGTACCGGACACGATCGCTTGGCAAAACACCTTCACATATTAGGAGTATACACTCAACCCACATGCCCCCTATGTAACCAACAGGTGGAAATGGAGAAGACCCACCTGATTCGGTGTCCAGCCCTAAAGACAAGGACGGAATGCCAGAGATACTGGGAAGCAAGAAGACAGCTAATTAACTGCTATAAATGTACCCCTCCCCCCTTGGGGGAAGCTGAAGTCAAAGTTTAAGGGCTAATGATAAATATCATAAAGCCTTCCATTTGAAATAAATAAAAAAATATATATATATACCTATTACTTGATAATTTAGACCATTTTTAAAGAAATAATGAACTTCTGATCTGCAGAGGTGACTGTCAGTACTAACATATAATCATATTCATATTGTTCCTCAGTGAAAAATAAAGCATTCTACAGCTTTCATTGCAGGCCAACGTTTAGAAGTGGAAAAACTGTAATTGTTCAATAAAGGCTGAACATGGTGACTAACGGAGAAAATGGGAGCTACAGTGTCAATGAACCTTATTATATTTGTAATCAATGAGGTTGTTTGTTTTTATCAACATTAGTGAGTGAGCACCCACTCTTCGTTGCCTATTGGATAGTTGGTAAAAGTAGAATTCCGGCTATGCCAACTCGAAACAATTGGAAATTTCTCTTAAATGCATTCAATCACAAATACAATTACAATAGGGGATTTAATGACAATGTGAGCTGTAGTTCAAAGGAGTTCAACAAACCTAAAACTGATGAATTTATTAGAATCTCTCACATTTCCCATTTTGGTTATGCTAATTAAGGCGATCCATCATTACTTATCTTTTAAATGTTACCAAATGTACTTTTTGCTTTGAAAAGAATTAGTAAAAATATTCGCACATTACCATCATTTAAAATTTTTTATGAATACATACTTATTCCAATGCAGTTACGTGAACATAGAGAGCTTCGCAAAATCTCCTCCACTTGGCAATGTCTGCTTTTAAATTATCTTCCAACGTCTGGATTTGTGGGAAAAATCTTGCAATGAGACAGCAAATAACGTAATATTCTTCCACTCTACCACTATGATCTTGAAGTAAGTCTAATGGAAGACACCATCTTTTTCGAGCAAAGGGCATTATTTCTGCAAGACAAAACATCCAGCCAATGAAATATACTTTCGATTCCTTTCCCATTTCGGAAAACTTTTCATAATAAAAGATGAACATGTGTAGAAAGGAGTCGAAGGAGCCTTTAGGTAAGCCCATCAATAGGTAATGAAGATATTTGGAAATAAACACGTTTGCAAGTTTTGCCATTGAGTCATAGTCTTGAGTGCTTGATTCCTGATTTGCATCTACATAAAAATAGTCAAACGGAGGAAAAAATTAAATAGAATTAATTTTTCTATAAAAATTCAAACTGGGTAAGACTATAGAGGTTATAAAAATTCAAAAGGCATCTTTCATGTAGTAGTTGCCATTAATTGAAATATGCATAGCATATGTGAATCTTAAAATAAGCATAAATAAAGCAGACTGATTATTAACAAAACAGTAGACTCGCTTTCTGGATGGCAAAGGTAACGTTGTTTGGCACACAGAATATCATCAGCAACTTTAAGACTAAGTTCAAGCCAACGTGATGTTGCACTTGCGCTTTGCATTTTTTAAATAAATTTCAATAAATTCTAAATGGTGAAAAATACTCATTAAATGTAAAACCCTTGAGTAGAGGTCCAAAAGATTGAAATATCATTGGTTATTATCTACTTTTCGAACCGAAACGGATTAGATGCTATCATCAATCCAGTATTCACTAAACTGATGTGAATTTTCTTTACCTTTCAGAATTGCTTTAATCATGTTAGAGGTTAACTTATTTATTCTGAATTCCCTGTAAATAGCAGCATTGCTTGAAGCTGATTTTATGTCAAGACTTTATGATTCTAAGATTTTGTTAGCGTTTGTCCACGCATGGTGAGAATGACAAGTATAGATGAATTTTTTGTTTTATATACTTTTGTTTAAATAATCTGCAAAGAAGTCCCATTATCTCCTAGTTCTTTAGCCATCTAATTGTGCTTCTCTCTAGATACTCTAGTTAAAATTTCATCTGTTCATATGTAAACCAGAACTTGGAATTACTTTCCATTACAATTTCTGAATAAATTACGCCTTATTGTCAAAACTTCGAATATCATCTTCGTTAAACATTAATCAGTTTATTATTAATTACACTTGAAGACCAGGCCACGACTTTAGCACATTTTCATCTCCCCTTTATGTTATTTTAACTTTTATAACTTTTTAAAGTTGAAGTAAATACATTAAAAGGGACATTATCTGTGCCTTTCCTAATTCGTCTTTACAAGACTTCCCAGTGCAAATCTGAAAATAGTTATTAAAGCGGGAGTCTTCGAATTCAGTATACTGTATCTTGCACGAATTTCTTTAAGTTTGTCAACGAATCTCCTGAATATCCTATCAAAAGTTGAGCGTGTGTATGCCAAAAGGCGACTATGAAAACAAGGTTACTTCAGTGTTACAACTAATAATAAGAGTAATAATGTCGAAAAAAGCAAAAATTCAACAGTCGTAGTGAGGTGGAAAAAGAATTCTCCACGCGTATGTGATGATAGATTAATGTTTATATAAAATTAAAAGCTGCAAAATGTTTTATCTATATATAGTAACAATAAAAAGTTAACGCAACCTTCTTTGTAATCTGTTACATTAATGTAATTTCATCAAATATTAAATTTATATAAAATGCATGCTTCTTTGTTCTCCATCATGTTAATATACTAATCTAGTAATAACGAAGATATGCTGAAGTGTTTAAGTACTCCAGTTTCTCGTCGTACACCTCAAGCTTTTGTGGTGGTGTAATTTTGTGCGGAATTCTTCCTATTTCAACTAGCACTTAGACCTTTATTTAAGTTTACTGTTTAGAAATTTTGTTTCTAATAATGGATCCGTATGCAAATGCGAAGTGTGGCAAACTAAGACTTAAAGGCGAAAAGGACAAACCAAAGAAGCGAAAGCACAAGGCATCTAAAGATGGTTCTTCACGTCCATCCAAAGTTACAAAGTCAGCTTTCAATGAGGACCTCGAAGCACATGCCGGCTGGTGGGAAATTTCAAAATTTGTCGATATTATTGGTCCAGTGGCTATTCAAATGACTGGCTTAGCACAATCACACGACACCTCGACTGCAACAGAGAATGATCATCCCAATCCTTTTCCTTCCGCTTACTACCTTTCAGCGTCAGATGATGGTTTCATTAATCTTGGACCACCTCGCAAATCGGGTGAAGCGCCTGCACCGGAGGAAATTTTCACAGCCGTTAAAGTTTCTGACACCAAAGTTGCTTTCAAAACAGGTTACGATAAATACATTACAGCGGATACAGGAGCGGAAAATATAATTACCGCTGCAGCGGACGCTATTGGCCCTCGTGAACAGTTTGAACCCATCTTTCAGGACGCTAAAACAGCTCTTCTGGGTTTCAATAATTGTTTCTTATCGGTTGATCCAGTGTCAGACAGGGCTATTTGTCGAGCACAAAAAGCTGGACCTACAGAAATGGTTGTTGTAAGTATACTTTTATATTCACACGTAAAATACCTGTGATTTTAATTAATGGGGAGTTACTTTTTATTTTATTCCAGGTGCGATCGAATAAGGATCTGACACATAATCCCCTCTATGACTTGCCCGAAGAAGAACGGCATGGCACTAAGAAGGCGGAGCTACTATATGTGTAAGTTAACTCATTTTGACGTTAATTTATTTCGCTTAAATAATCTCTCAACTATTTCCTTGTTTTTTTTAAATGTAAGTGAAGTTTAGATTTGTAAATGGAGGAAAATAGGGTTAAGACCAACATGAATTTTCGGGGTTTGACCAGTGAAGGGTTTTTAGATGTTTGTAATTTGAATTCTTATTCGTTTCGCTTGATTTATTTGTCCAAATTGGTTACTTAGCTAATTTTTGTTTTAGTTTGTCACTTGGAAGTTTTTGTCACTTTAATCTCCTTAGTTGTTGAATTAGATAACCGAGGATTTGTTGAAAAATTTTATTGTTTAAATTTTGTTTAATGTACCTGAAAATTTAAGTTTCTCTGTTGCTAATTGTACCCATTTGTCAAATTCGATGGCTTCAATTCGGGTTGGGATGCTTTTGTCTATAATTCAGCTACAGATAGTTAATATCTGCCCAAGAGAGAGGAACTTTGTTTTAGACATTCAGTTTCCATCATTGTTCTTTGAATGTCTCCGTTACTAATTTACCAGTAACCTGTCCGCAAGGTTTCAATCCTTATTTTTTAGCTGTTTGTCGTTTCAGATTTTAAGTATATTAAGCATTTCTTTGTTTTGGTTGCAGAAGATTGGTCAAGAGTTCGTCTTTTCTGTTTTACGTACCCTCTCCTTATTTTGTTTCAACCCCGCTTTTCCTTGTTCCATAATTTGTTTGCCAACATCCAGTCAGTATGTTAATCTTATTTTGATGCACTGCTTAGACAACCTGATTATTTGCACCTTGTGCAACTTTTTAGTAGTAATACTTATTAATAGTAATACGTGTTTAAGCCGATCATAAATCGTTGCAGAAGCGCTCTTTATTCTTAAGTTAAACTATGATTGTTGATCTAAAAATTTTTTATTTACACTTTTCCTCCTGTTTAGTCACATGTCCTTCTGCTTTTAGGCGTAAATTCCAGAGTTGGCAAGACAAGAAGATCCGACTCACTCGTGAAGATACAGTTGCCTTGAAGGAGGCCAAACGCGACGGCAATCTTCATGAAACCATGCTGGATAGGTAACTTTAATGCAAAAAAATCCAGTTTGCTCTCTGTTTCTATTTTCATTTATCTTGTTATTTTATTATAGGCGTGAGAAGATGAAATCCGACCGCTATTGTAAATAATTGAAAATTTGTTAATAATTGTAATTTCAGTTATTTTAGAAAGTTTGAAAGTAAATACCTTGCATAATATCTGTGATTTTTTTTTTACCTTATCGGGGCTAATAGATACTTACGGCTAAACTTGTATCACTGTTATTTACTTTGTAGAAAATGATAATCTGTTTCTTAGTCGTCTTGTTATTGGAACGTAGGCAAATGCTATCTCTACTAGCCCTCGTGGTTAATACTGTGATAAGCAGCCTTTATTGCTACAAGCTAAACAACCTTCAACTATCTATGAATTCCAGAACTTAGTAAAAACGTAAAATAACCTTAGGATCGAGCTTCACTTTCGCGCATTACGAATATGCAGCGTTTTAGCATGGGTATGACTTTCAACGTTAGTTCATCGCGGGTAGGTGTTGCTAATTTTATCCAGCATTTAATGAAAAATCTTGCTTTGAAAACTTTTTTGAAAGGGTGCTTCTTAAAGGAGTAAAAGTCTACTTGAATGTGGCTTTTAGTCAATATATTGAACTACGTCATAATGTACTCTAATAAATCAAAATATTACTTTTTCCCACTGAATATTTATTAGGTACATATATATTAACAAAATGCGACAAGGTTCCATGTTTTACAGTTCCTTGATTATCAAGACTATGCTAATGAGAAATTGTTAGCTGTCAGGAAACTCCTGAATCAACAGGCTTGCACAGGAACAACCCTTATGTGCATGCGCTATTAAGTGATATAGAAATGAAGATTAAACTTACAGATTCACAAATTATAGCGAATCAAGATTAATTATGAAGTAAGGGATGGGAAAGATAACGGTATTTTTCTTAATCAAGTGGGCAAAATTAATAACTTAAACATTAATTCGAATTACCCAAAGGAAAATAAAATCGCACTAAAAGTACATCATGCAGATCGGAATATTTAGAAATAGTGCATTTTAAACGTATAGTTTGACAATTAATTTCCCCTTCTAGAAAAAGTAATTCCTGAGGTGCATATATAGCAAAGCCAACTTAAATTATTGTCCATATTTTTTATGAAGAAAAACTCAATGGGAAGGCGAATTCTTAGTTTTATTATGAATTGTTATCGCTTCGTTAAAAAGCATTTTATATCAATATAATCTATGCAACAGGGTCAAGCTTGGGGTATAATTATGTACATACTATTTTGCAGAATTTTAAATCACATTCGAAAATACATATAAAATTCAAGCAAATGATGTGTTTATTAGTTACGTGCATGCTTTTACAACTTTAATTTTAATTAAACTAACTTGAATATGACAGTATTTGATAAAATTTATAAAAATGAGTGATCTATATCTGAAGGTAAATCTTAAGGTCATTTCCCCACATGTTTGTTGATATCGCCGTGATTGGTTCACTTTCGTGTGCATAATACGCAATTTCGCAACCTGTCTGGTGTCTGTTGACTACCGATAATAGCGATCGAGCAATATTTTTAAGGATTGACAGCGACTATGTTTAAGTGTTTTCCCTTCATTAAGGGATGTGGATCGCAGATTGATACGATTGAGAAGAGTCACGCTAGTTTGACATCTGTTCCTGATGAGGTTCTTAGAAGTTATCGGACTCTTGAAGAATGTAAACTTGATGCTAATCAAATCAAGGAATTACCTAGCGTAATTGATATCCTTTAGACCTTTATACGATTTTGTAGGCTTTCTTTAGACTTGAAAAAATTCGCATCCTTTCGATGAGTGATAATGAACTCACTCGTATACCACCTGCAATTGGAAATTTTTCAAATCTTGTTGAACTTGACATTAGTCGGAATGGTATTGTCTTTTTAAAGGATTTCCAATAAGTTTTCATAGATATCAATGAGCTCCCTACTAGTTTAAGACTCTGCGATTCACTACAAATTTTGGATGCGAGCAATAATGCACTTAAAACGTACTAATCATCCCTGTCCTTAAATATTTTTGCTTAATTTTACAAATTTTTTTTCACGATAGGTTGCCAGATGGCTTTTCTCAACTTCGGAGTTTACGTGTTCTAAGCTTGAATGATGTTTCTCTCTACGATCTACCTTCTGATTTCGGTGGTTTAAAGAATTTGCAAAAGTTGGAGTTGCGCGATAATTACTTGAACAGCCTCCCCAATACTTTTGGTGAGCTTTCTTGTTTGGAATTCTTAGATCTTGGTGGAAACGACTTTGTCACAATTGTAAGTCGAGGTTTTGAGCCATCTTTTTTCTTTTTCTGTCTGATCTTATTTATTTGTTCTTTTTCACTTTATAATAGTCTGCTTCCATTGGCAATTTACACAATCTTCTTGAACTATGGCTTGATGGCAATCAATTGACCTCCCTCCCGGATGTATGTTTATTGTTAAGCCATTACTTTTCGTTACTTTGGTGTTTACAATCTTATCTTTGTTATCTAGGAAATCGGAAATCTTCACTCTCTTACACAAATGGATGTTTCGGAAAATCGACTCACTGCCCTTCCCTCTACTATATCCGGTTTGACCTCTCTTTCCGACCTCAATTTGACTCAAAATTACCTCGACGCCCTCCCAGATGAAATAGGTCAATTGGTGAATCTTACCGTCTTTAAGCTGAACCGTAATCAACTGGTTGATCTGACTCCTTCTATTGGAAAGTACGCAGAAATTTAATTATCTATCTCGAGGATTATTTTCACGGATTTAACAGATGGTATTTGTGATTTGTAGGTGTCAAAACCTCCTGGAGTTTTATCTTACTGAGAACTATCTATCCGCCCTTCCAAGTACTATTGGCAATCTTACAAAAATGTTTCATTTCAATGTGACCAAAAACCAGCTTTGCGAATTGCCTCCTGAGGTATGGGGTTTTGTTAACGCTATACTTACTTGGTCGTTTGTTATATTAATTAAATTTTGTTAATAAAGTTTGATCTCAGGCATGAATTTTCAAGGATGTTTCATGTCCACCCTTACAAAATTCTTTTAAAGGTGTTTTTTCTGTCATTTCCTGTGTTTTTATTTTAGTTTAGACTTTAGAAGGAAATTACATACAAATCTTCGAAGTTTTGAACTTGATTATTTCCTAACAGGAAGCTAGTTAAATGAATGAATTTTTCTTTTGCTAGGGCTATTCCATCTTTTTTCTCAGTTCTTACAATTGGTATTGAGAATGCTTTTCTTTCAAAGATTCATTTAATATCTGTTATAAAATTTGAAATTCTCTCAATTTATAGAAGTTAGAAATTCCACTATGTAAAAATTAGACTGATGTGTTTATTATCCTAGTTAATTACATTATTGTCATCGCTTTTTTATTCCTCTCCAGATTGGCGAATGTGTGTCCATGGAAATCCTTTCTCTTCGGGATAACAATCTCCAACGAATTCCATCTGAAATCGGCAATCTTACTCAATTGCACGTTTTGGATGTAGCTGGTAATCGGTGAGTGTTCATTTTATGTATTCCTGTTCTTTGCGTTTTCTTATATTTGTACAATTATCTGTTAATGGGTGCAATTATTTAAATGTTAGACTTTGATAGCTCGTTCTGTAGGAGAGACATCGGAATACATTTTCACTTCTACGGGTTTAAAGTAGAAGCACTTTCCTTCTCATTACATTTTATTACTATTTCTGGCTAAATTTCAGGGATCTTATTTTTAAAACTCAAAGCCTTCTTAACACGGAACACAGTATGTATAGTTTTAGTAGATGGATTTAAGAGAAAGCTACATACAAAAGAAAGAAAAAAGGCATGAAATCAAGAATCTTTGGTTTAAGTCCTCTTTCAATAGACTGTCTTCTTTTTAGTTGGCGTCGTAGTCGAGTTAATCAGATGGTACCTTAATCTGCAGTTGACTCATCAAGGGCAAGGTCTGCTTGTCATCATCAATTAGATTGATTGAGTTCTCAGTCATTTGTTAACATTATTCCATATCTCCTAGTTCTATATAGAATCATTCACAAACATTGAGTGAAATACGCAAAATTCGCTTCTCATTAGAAGGAGTCGCTGTCAGTTCATTGGAGAAAAATGGTCAAACTGCAGGAATTGGGCATGTATTGCGGATCGGAACACCTTTGATCGAAAATTCCATTTTAAAAAGCTCATCTGCTTTTCTTGTGTATTAATCAATAGTCTTGTATGCCTAAATTACGCATCTATTTGGCGCATCACATTGGTAATCAAGTCGTGATTTAAGAACTCTCCAGTTTCTTGAATTCAACAATGAACCCCATCCACGTATTCACTTACTGACTTTATTTACCCTTTATGGTAAGGGGAATAAGTAAAATTTAAATTCGAGTCGAAAAATCAAACAGATCCACTTGAGTTATTGCGAAGTCCAATTTTCGATTGATTTTGTAAGAGAATAATATTTCATAAGACATCATTGCAATTATTAATTCAATGATTGATTCGATTTAATAACTTCATGTCCATTGAAGTGAGTTAATAGATAGTGATGGATAGGAATATCTAATTGTACCTAACACATAATAGAAAATTTTGGAAATAGGAAAATCTTTTTTTCCAGGGGATGGATAGTGTTTCTCAAAATGATCTTAAGCAATTAGCTTCCTATTTCCCTACATTAGGAGATTGCTTAACTTCTCTACCTCACTGGGTTTGCCTCATATATTCGTTCTCATGTTTGTTAGCTATGTGCAAATAATGCCCTCGGTAGTTTCAACAATTGACTACTTTGCTGTTAGCCTTATTTTTCACTTTATACTGAAATTCTGAAGTTTAATCGTCTCTTATGAATTCAATTTATTCGATATAATGGGTTCAGAAGTGCTTGGGATAATTTATATATTTATTTCAAATGGCAGGCATTTTGTTTGTTATCATCAGCCCTTTAGTTGACTTCAGGCTTCACAGAGAGGAAGGAACATCAAAGTGAAATAAATTCGAGAGGGAGGGGTAGCAGAAGTGTTTTAAAGATGTAAAAGAGACAGACACAAAGGTCGAGGGTAGAGTAAGGTGAGTACTGCGAAAGTGGTGGAATATGACTGTGGAAATAGTCGAATATGACATAGAGTGAGGTGATGGTAGTTTGAAGTGAGAAGTCAACTGCCGGTTAATAGACTTTTTGCCGTATGAGTATACGTTGCCCAGGGTGTACCACGTGGTGGTAAGTCTATCGCACACCCCAATGGGTGACAAGTTGCGAGCACGCCAGGATACGAACCTGGATAGAACGCTTTCGATAAACTTATTTAATGATGATTTTTATGTCTTTCGATCTTTTGCTTCAGGTTGGATCGACTTCCAGTATCTTTAACTTCCTGTCCGCTGAAAGCTCTATGGTTGGTGCAGAGTCAAGCTCAGCCTATCTCTCTTCAACGGGCTGTAGATGAGATCACTGGAGAAGAATACCTAACCTGCTATCTCTTGCCTCAAGAAACTGATGGAAGTAAGTCCGCTAATTCTATTTTGACTTCATTTGCGCATGGGTTCGATTGTGTTATTA